ACTGGCTCCTCAGAAGAACCGGCGGGTTTCCCCTTCCGCCTGTGCCACCCACAGTGATGTGCTCCTTCCTTCTGCTACCTGAGCATTTCTGAGGGCTGTGCCACAGTCACCCCCTCCAGGAGATTCCCCGGGATGTTGCTGCTGCGCTGGGGGCAGTCAGGGGGAAAAGGCGGAGCCCTCCCTGCCCTCCCCCTCTGCATAGAGGGGCCCCCCCCCATGGCCATCTTCTCGGCAAACAGAGATGAAGGAGGCACACAATGTCACGAGGCCCCGTCCTCTCGGGGTGGTGGGGGTGGTGGCTCCTCTCCTCTCACATCAGCAGGCAGCTCTTGGCACGGTCCTTGTGGATCTCGGAGTCAGTCAACAAGTCCGTCCTCCCGGACAGCTGTGAGACCCGCTTCAGCCCCCGTTTGGAGTTGCTCCGCTTGAGGTGCTTGTGCGTGCGGCTGACAGAGGCCAACGTGGTCACGTGGAAAACGTCCCGGACGCTGTTCTCCGACACCTTGGAAGAGCACTCCACGTACGCCGCGGCGCCCAACTGCCGGGCCAGTAGACTGCCCTGGGGGAGAGGGGAGAGACACACACCAGAACATCACCCCGGAACCCACCCTTCGCGCCTTGCCTTCTCCCGTGCACTCACTCATCCGCTTGCCGCCTCCCGCCTCCCTTCAATGTTCCCTCTAAGCTGTGGAGTCTTGTGAGCAAAAATTCTACTTTGTGAGCTACTGGCATTAAAGCTGTGAGCGAGCGATTTGGCCACTGCATCAATTAGTTTGCTCTGGAGCCATCCCTTCCTGAGCAAAGGCAAAAAGGTGTGATCCGGAGGCTAAAAAACTGTGAGCTAGCTCACACTAACTCAGCTTAGAGGGAACACTGCTCTCGGTGCCAGCCGTTCGCTAAAGAGCTCTGTGCCCCTGCCATCCTCCTTGCCCGCTCTTGCACGACTGTGCCATGCCACGGGCTCCCAGCCCTGCCTCACCCCCACTGCCAGGCACTGCTGCTGCCAGGCGACGTTGCAGGGGACAGACGCTGGAAGGCAACGTCAACACCCTCAAGGACACAAAAAAGGGGGGTGGGAATGCTCCTGTTTACAAAGGCCAGGAGGCAAAGGAACAGAAGCACAGCCTTGGTGGACTGGCACCCAGGGTGCCTTGAGCCCCAGGGCTGATTTGAGGAGCCCAGTCGCCCAAGCAAGGCACACCCATCCCACCACCCCCCCCACCCTGAGCCGGGGGGGGGGAGGGGGCTTGGCCCCTGATCAGCAGCTGCAGCAGCACAGACAGAGCCCAGCCCTCTTCACGGGGCGGCCACCAAACATTCAAGGGGGGGGGGGGCCCTTGGGCTTCCCACCAGTCCCGAACATGGCTCTCACCTCGCGTCTGCGGTTCCACACCTACGCAAATGCTCGTTCTCTTAAACACTTTTAAACAGGGCTATTTTGGGGCAGGAACGCACAGGAACGGGGTTCCGGCTGGCTCCAGAGTTGGCCACGCCCAGCAGGAACTCATTAGCATAACAGGCCACACCCAAGAGCAGGAACTCATTTGGATTGGCTATATTAGGGGTGTGTGGCCTAACATGCAAAGGAGTTCCTGCTACAAAAAAAGCCCTGGGTTTTGACCACAAACAGGGTAAACAGAATAAGAAGCAAAAGGTGGGTGTGGCTGGATGACCACACTTCCGGTAACATGGGGGTGCGGCCTAATGTGCTAATGAGCTGTGCTGTCAGGGGTGTGGCCCAATAAGCTAATGAGTTCCTGCTGTTGGGTGTGGCCTATTATGCTAATGAGTTCCTGCTGGGCTTTTTCTACAAAAAGAGCCCTGCAAAAGGTTCCCAAATCTCCACCACCACAGGAGATGATGCTCCCGAAGGAAGGGCACCATCTTTTGCAGACCAAATCAGGTACACTTGAAAGACAAGCCCTGGAGCACACCTCTGGCCTTGCCAGTCCCCTTCCTCCCGGGCCCCCTTTGCTGAAACCGGAGCTCTTCTCAGGCGAAGGATTTGGAACGCTGTGCCTTCTGGCCACTCTTCACCTGCTCTTCTCACCAGAGGAAGCCTCCTTACTAATAAGGCTGAGCGGGACCGCTTCTCATTCACAAGGCCCAACCGTTAATTATTCCGCCAGAACGGGGCTGTGTTGGGTATTACAAGTTGAAAACACTCAGTATATCTGGGGTGAAATGTTTGTTTATGTTACTCACAGGAAGTCACATGTTTCTCATGTAACCAATGTTCTTTAGCTGTAGGATGCCCGGGAATTTTCTCCCTGATCTAGGGATTTGATTGGTAGGTGTATTACCATTTTATGGCTTCTCTTCCCGTCTTTGTTTTGGTGTTCCGAAGAACAA